ATAATGAGTACCTCTGTATTCGGTGAGAATACTAAAGGTGTCAGACACTCGCTGTCACTTTATCTCATCATTAGTCAATAATACTCTTTGCATAAAGGCGTAAATAATAATAACAATAATAATAATAGTAAGTTTAACGCTGTATTAAGACTGTAGCCGCTCTGTCAATTTTATATAATAACCTCGATGCAAAAATGTAATATTAAAAATCCGAAGCCTCTAAGGTGACGATAATGAAAATAACTTAGACATGCCAGTGAAGATTATGTTTGATATGAACGTTGACGATTGGATATGGCCCCCTCCCACAAAACAAAACAAAAAAAAAAAACATTTGCTTTTATCTGTCGTTATACAACGTCGGCTCCTCTCATGATAACGGCATTCGGGTGACAGCGCCGCCTGGCGTTGTCACTCGGAAGAGACTTGCAGTGGACAATGACAACATGCGTGTGCAGTCGACAATCAACGCGCCGGCCTAGTGTCCATTTCCTGCGTTTCTCTATTTGCATTCATCATTCGAAATAAATGATCTCTGATCAGGGACTGTCTTTGGTCTGGGAAGGTGATTGGTTTGCGTCCGGAAATTAGCCATCTTGCGGGAAAGGTGAGTGTTGCCGAGAAGATGATGATGAAGAAGGAGAATAAAGTCATGGAAGAAGAAGAAAAAAGAGAACAAGAAAGAGAAAAATTGTCGGTGTTGTAGCTAATAATAAGGTGAAAAAGAAGAAAAATAAGAAGTAGTAGTAGTAGAAGAAGAAGAAGAAGAAGAGAAAGAGGTATAGAAAATTAGAAAAAAAGATGACTAAGAAGAAAGAGTAAAAGAACATTCAAGCAGAAGGAGAAATATTTGAAGACCTATACAAGAATGAAAACGTAAAAAGGAGATACAAAACAAAGAAGATCCTGAAGAAAACGTGAATAAGAAGAAAGAAAAAAGAAAGAATACAGATAGGGAAATAGATGAAAAATATTGACTAATACACTAATTAAAACAAGAAGAAGAAAGATGAAACAGAAAGAAAATCCAAGTAGAAAGAGGAATGTGTGAAAAAGTATAAGCTAAAATGATAATAAGAGAAGTAGAAAAAGAAGAAAATATGAAAAAGAAAGATGAAGAACAAAGAAACATGGAAAAGAAGGGAAATTCAAGTAGAAAGAAGAATGTTTTAAAACTAGCTTAAAAGTCGTCCATTTATTCCATAATATAGGATTTACTTAATTAGCTATTATGTTTCTGTAACTCTTCAAATGTTGAATGTATAACTAATTCTAATTTCTATTTTTCCATCTTTACACTATACTAATTTTATCCTATAAACTGCCCCCGGTTTTGTCACCATGAAATAAAAAATAATTGTTTGTACGTTTTTAAATTTAAGTGGCAGCAGAATTATTTCTGAACTTTTAAAAGGTAAGCTTAATTTCAATATTTAAATGCAGCGATCAATTTTGAGTTCTTCTGTATTTTATTGATGCTTATCGCATCTACTCCTCCCTAGGTATTGTGATGATGGCCAAGTCAAGAGTCTTCCACAGGAGATAGCTTAAATGCCGCCCAATGAGCCATGAAAACAACTATAATGGCTAATATAATATATTACTATATATTTTTAACCTCGCATAATCTGGCAACCCTTCTAGGGCTTTTGAATGAGCTATGAATCATTGAAATCGGACCAATGGGAGCGAAGGAGTTGCTTGGGCACACTCACGCACAAACACACACACACGCGTACACTGTATTTTATATATAAGATGATAAAAAGGGAAGAAGAAGACGGAAACATGAAAAAGAAAGAAGAATAAGAAAGAAAGATGAAAAGAAAGGAAATTAAAGTAGATAGAAGAATGTATGAAAAAGTATTACCTAAGTGGTAAAAAGGGAAGAAGGGGGAGTGAAAGAAAAAGAATCCAAGAAAAATAGCAAACTGGGAAAACTGAGAAAAAAAAAACCAAGAAGGAAAAAATGTGAAGAAAATGAGCGAAATAAATTCAGAGATTAAAGTCAAAATAAGATTAATAATAAAGAAGAAGGGAGGAATATTGTAAAAAGAGAGTAATGGTTAAAAATTGATATAAAAACAAAACAACTAAGCTAGAAATGGAAATCGTTAGGAAAATGAAGGAAAGAGGAAAGTGCAATCGCAAAAGAAGTAAAAGAGAAGCTGAGAAGTCAAAGAAAAAGAAGAAAAGAGAGAAATAGGAATGTAAAAGAAAAGGCAAAGAAACGAAGAGAAAATAATGAAGAAAATGGAAATAAAATAACAAGGAAAAGACAAAGATAATCAAGAAAATTCTACAGAAATAAATTAGTCAAAATAATTATCGAATAAAACAAATGGCGGAAAAACTAAGAAATAATAAAGATAAATAAGAAGAAAAAAAGCGTGCTAAGAAGAACGTCATGAAAGATGGAGGTAAGCAGAGAAAAGGAAGACTAGTAAAAGAAGGAGAAAACAAATAGAAACGGAATAGAGGAGGAAGACAGTTGAATGAGAAGTATGAAAAAGTCAGGTGAGTAATGAGAAGAAAATTCGATTTGCAAGGAGAATTAAACGTGTAAAAGGACTTAGGAAGAGAAAAGGAAAAAGAACGCGCTTCTCGGAAGAGAAGAAGAAATAGAATGAGATTGGTAGATGGTAAACGATGATAAAAGTGATATATTAAGATAAACTGAAAGAGAAAAAGAAAGACGAATACTAAATAAAATGAGAAGAAAGAAGAATGACAAATTGAATGAGGAATAGAGAAAGGATAAAAAAGAAAACGAGAGAGAATGAGAAAATGTAGAGAGAAAGCAAGAGAGAGATAAAGAAAGAGGAATACTTACTAGAATGGGAAGGATGAAGAATGAAAAATTGAATGAGAAACAGAGAAATGAAGAAAAGAAGTCGAGACTGAATGAGAAAATTATAGTGAAAGAAAGAGAAAAATAAAGAGTAATACTAAGTAGAATGAGAAGGATGAAGAACGACAAATTATCTAAGAAATAGAGAAAATTAAAAAAAAGTTGAGAAAAAATGAGAAAAATGTAATGATAGAGAAAGAGAAAAAGAAAGATTATATAAAATGCGGTATATGTAGAGGGAGAAGTAGAAAAATAGAAAGGGAAACAAAGGGAAAGACGCAATAGTGAATCGACGAAAAAAAATCAAATGAGAAAAGAAAGAAGACAAGGAAATAGAAGGAGATGGAACGTAGACGATAAATAGAAAGGAAATAGAGAAAGGTAAAGAAGAGGAACTAGAATGAAAAGAGAGTAGAAAGAGAAAGTCAGTGAGAAAGAAGAGACATAATAAGAAAGATGGTGAATGACAAATAGAATGAGAAACAGAAACAGAGAAATATCGCGAGTTTGTAGCGGAAGAAATAGAAAAAGAGAGAAAAAAGCGAATGAGATTGATGTAAAAGGGGAAATAGAGAAAAGATAAAGGCAGGGGAAAAGAAACTAGGAGAAGGGCGTAGACGGAGAAATATAAAAAAAAAATACTTTAAAGAAGTAGAATACGAAAAAGAATACTAGACTATTGCAAAGTTTAGTTGTTATCTCATCTTCCATGTGTCTCAGCATTTATTTCTAGTGTGATCAATCTATGTATTACGTCTCAGGTATGACGATAGACTACATGTTGCGTCCTGGATAAGATAAACTACGTCCAACAGCAAGGCCTCGGATCAGGAGGATTTGAGGAGTGTGGAACCATCTCTTAATTGTTGGTGTTCCCAGGTCCACAATGACCTGGCGTGGAAGACACTGTTAGAGTACTATGGGCAAAACTGGGCTCAAAATATTATGAAAGTGTAAAAATATGTTTTAATACGAGGAATACTTTGGAGAAAAATTATTACCAGTAATGATTTTTTGAAGAAAAAATTATTACCAACTATACCTTTTTGAAAAAAAATATTACAGCAATAGATTTTTTAAGAAAAAATATTGCCAGAAATACATTCTTCGAAAAAAAATATTATCAGCATTAAAAATTTTGTCGGCATTAAATAACCCATTGAGGTTGATATGCTGTAAACCAAACCAAACCAATCTATGCATTACAGCGGCGATAGTGGTGGTGAAGGTGGTCGTGAATAATAATAATAATAATAATAATAATAATAATAATAAGAAGAAGAAGAAGAAGAAGAAGAAGGATACGATATAGTCCATTAGCCTCTCAGTGTCCTACCTCTCTGCCAAGTCTCTCATCTCTCTATTGCTACTTCCATGAAAGTGCTTGGACGAACTGCATTCTTTGGTTCTTTCAGGTCTAACCTTCACGATTAGAACCCGCCATGTCACTTACATTGTAGTAAACCACGCAAGTTCTCTCCGTATTCCATTGGTGACAAGTAAATTCCACTCTAACAGATTCTTCCCACGAAGCACTGCTTTGTGGAACAGACTCTGAAAAGGATGTATCCCGATCACTACGATTTTAACCTGTTAACCGTTATTGTCCCCTCCTATCTACATAAACTTCATACTACTTTGACACTCCTCCTCGAATGGCTCATGGGCCTTGTGAAGGGTGAACTTTACAAAAAGAAAAACTTAGAAAAGTAGCCATTGAGCAGATAGAAGGACTAACAGGAGAACTAAAAAATAAAAAAACACACTGCAAAATCATGAAAACATAACTGTGCTGCTTTGTTAAATTGATGCTGATCAAGCCACAGAATGATGAAGGAAGTGGAAATGTATTGCACACCTCACAACGCGCCATAAGACCTCGTCACAACATAGCATCCTTCAATCCTCCTTACTCTCCCCCTGTTTCTTTGACATTTTCAGCACAGAGAATTTATTTACAGAAAACGGGAGAGGTTAACTTCTGAATTAAGTTTGTTTATGCGTGGGTCGCTGTTTCTTATCAGTCGAACCTTATACTTTGCAGCTCCTAGTAAGGTTTGCGTTTTTACAATCAAATGCAATGCCCGTTCTGCCATCCATTCGCATATGCTTGTCGGATGGGTGGCTCGTTATCTACACCTGTCCCTGTCTTTCGTCAGTATTAATGTTATTCTATCTCTATGATTCTGCGTATAAATGTCCTTTGTGCTTCGATTTTACTTAAAAGTTCTCCATCGCTTACACGATCTGATCAGTGTTGTCTACTCTATACCATAGAGTGTCATTTTTTTTTAATCATTTCATCCCAAGCAAGGTGATAAAGCCGCTAAGACGGAATGGGTTACTGAGAGTGAAAGGAAGAGAGAGGTTACAATAAAAGAAATGGGTTCAAGGAGACTGAACGTGACGAGGGATGTCACATTTAAATTTTTGGATATTTGTTGTTTACAGGGAAATGAGAAGACGAAAAAGAGTCCCAGGGGCGCGAAATGCGAGAGAAGAATCTATTAGAATTGAAATTACATTTGAATCTACTAATTTCAACAGTAATTTCTGAAACCCAGCTAGCAATCTACTACCAACGCTTAAATTCGGCTTACAATCGCATCACGTCGAAGCACTAGTTCCCGTACGATCGTCGAAGTGAAGTAATGTCAAGCCTGGCCATTACCTCGATTTTTGGTCTGATTTAGCTCTTGAAAAGGTACAGTATAGCAAGGTGAGTTAAACAACGTCGAGCCTGGTCATCAGCTAAACTGTTGACCACTCGGTAATACCAGGTGCTGTAAGCTTGGATGTGCGGATGGTATAATGGCTGATGAGACGGAATTTTTAATCGAATTGCATAGTTCCAATTTCCGTCGGGTTCGTTATATTCACTTACTCGCAAATAACATTGGGAAAGGTATGAATCCATCTCTACTCCCCCAGCTATGGGTTAATTAGTAAGACATGTATCACTAAATCATTATCATCTCAAAAACTATTCTTACAATCTAAAAATATTCTTACGATCTAAAAATATTCTTACAATGTAAAATATTTTCTGGCTGTAAATAACCTACATAGGGTTGATAAGCCACAAAAAACGAATCAGTCAATTAAAACGCTAAAATTCGTGAAGGTACGAAAGAAGACAGATCATGAGAACAATTACCATGAAAAAATATTTATAGAAAAGTCACGTTGAGGCGGCGGAAAGTGATTGAAGATGGGATGCCAGACCAAGACCGATAAAATTGCATATTAAAGAAGCAACTGAATTTATTATAAATATCGTTAATGCGACTGAAAATTGGAATGCTTTTTGAAAATGTGTTGTAAACCTGATAGTAAAGAAGGTGAGTAATATTGTACTAACCTGTCCAAACATGACTCAAGTTAACGGTTTTTGACACAGCGACAATGTTGTCTGGCATCCAGTGAGGACCCAAATCGTTACTGTAGTAATGGCCGGTTAGAAGAGATTACTAACCACAACGAAACCGATATTTGTGCTTGAAATATTTGAAACTGGCTTCTAAAAATTCTGTATACATGAAAGAGAAAAGGTTCATTAGCCCACCCGGAGATAATGGCGGTGGCTCGGAAAACAAGAGTAAAGATCATAGTCAGCACGGATTAAGGTTTGATTATGAGGAAGCGTGCTTCAAGATTTTAAAAGTCTGTTGATGGAGTTTGGTTAAGAAGAAGGAAACATGCCGTCACAGACGCCTAAGATAATATCATGATAAATAGATTTTTCCTATATTTGCCAAAGTGATACTGTCTGAGTGTAACGTGTTCGAAATTAGAAAATGTATCATATACGAAGGATGCCATAAGTATTAGCATCAATAATAGAGCTTAGCGTCTCTGATTAAGGAATCGGTGAGCTGAGTTCGAATTCCAGCCAAATCCATTATATTCACTTACGTGCTAATACCCTTGGGAAAGGTATGAATCCTCTTCTTCTCTCCCCATTGGTAAATAGCAGGACAGACCTGGTTCTATAGCCTTGGATGGCAACTTGTCTACCGCTGAAGGAAATGGCAATCTATTGCGTGAAAAATCTGCCTCGCCAGTCATTTATCGAAAGATGCATGATCGCCTAATCGCGTATCACGTATGGCACATAACTGACTTGGAGGTACAGTGGAGTAATGGATAGCGGCTCGGATTGAGGACAGACCTGGTTCTATAGCCTTGGATGGCAATGTATTTACCATAGAAGGAAATGGCAATCTATTGCAGGAACAAATCTGCCTCGTCATTTATCGAAAGATATATGATCGCCTAATCGTGTATCACGTATGGCACATAACTGACTGAATAGAGCTTATAGTTCTAGTTTTAGTGTTTTTACTATGCAAAGTCCCGTGGCCACTCAAAGTAGAGAGTTACAGAAAAGGAGGCAGTTTATCCGGATAGGAGAGGAAGATTATGTTTAACACTAGGCATGAACAGGTTAAAACTGTGGTAAATATAAAGCTTACTCTGTCGCTGTAGCAGTTGTATATTTCAATGCTGGCGTTAAGATTTATTGTTGTTGGTTGGTTGTTTTGGTTTAGCGGCATTTTGAACAGGATTAGAGGTTTTGCTTTATAGGATTGGGTTTTCGGTTCCTTCCAATGTCTTCTCATTTTCTTACACTCCCAGTAACCAATAGATAAGCCGACAATCATCTTTCTTGGGAGATATCCTGAACTGAGCAATGATTGGATAACGAAGATTGCCTTCCAGTATGAATCGAAAAAAAAAGCCAGCATTCAATTACCAAAGAAAGCCAATATAAGTCAAATAAGAACGACAATTTTAGAGAGATGATAAAAGAGGATGTGATCTGCCAAAAACAGCGCTCATAACATGAATCAAAATTAAAATAATATGGTCCCAACTTATCTAAAACTGAATTGGAAGACAATGTCCGATATACACATTGAGAACACAAAACCCAGATGATGTTAAAAATCTGAGACCTTAGTGTTTGCTGCGCTTTGAGATGAAACCACAGAGAGATTCGCTCAAAATCATACATCTACTATTGACCCATATTTAAGCCACGTTTGTCATGATTATGAGATAAATCGTGTGATAATTTCCCTCTTAGAGACGATTACTCAGGCGCATCTTATGTTTATTCAACACCCATAGAGCCCACCTAGTGGTTTTATAGCGAAGAAATTACCAAAAAAAAAAAAGAAAAAAAAAAAGAAAAAAGGGCACGTATTCTGCCTGATATGCTGATGACGGAATATTCAAATTAGAAAGAGGTCAGTCGCAGAAGTCGCCGTAAAAAGTATTTTGATATGCTAATATTGTGCGTCTTCTCCCAGTTGTCGACGAATGGAAAAAAATGCTCGGCAGATAAAAGCATTTGGTGTTCTCGAATTGACAGGAATGGAGAAAATTCGTGGTATTTTGGCTACCGCGTTCGTCGGAGAGTGAGTTATTTCTCTGACTGGTTACGAGCATTGTGATTTGTGAGATATTATTTGCGAATCGAGGTTTCGGCATTTCTTTCTGCCCCCGATATCCGAGTCTAAACTTACATTGATTTGTTTTCTGCGTTGTGGAAGTAATCTGCAAATATTGCAATTGCAGAACGCTTACAGGTTTATACTGCAACTATACTGAGCATACCTTACTCACAGTTTCTGGGAAATAGCTTGTTATCTAGCGTGAACAACAATTTGAACAAGGTCAGCATGCTCAAGCCCTTGCCCACGATGAATTGTGACTTCGTGGTATCACAGCTATCGACGGCCTCCAAGGGTTCCGTCTACCCTATTTCATTCGCAAGGTCAACCCGTGGTATGGTTTTACCGGACGCTGGGATCGACCCCTCCAGTACGATAACATCAGGAAATCTGCTTCATGACAAATCGACCATGGCGGGATTCGAACCCGAGTTTAAATGTCCGAATATGAACATTCTAACCACTCGGCCACGTGCCCATAATATATGCACATACTCGCCAATTAAACACCGGATTACCTTCTAACTATCACATGAATTTGTACCTGGTCGCTATTTCAGGAATATGACGCGGGTGGTGGTTTTGTATCAACCAGTTTCAGATAGCTTCCATATCACATTGTAACATTTCTAATTTATTTCCAAATGTTCAGACATTATACTGTACAATAAATGTTATAAATGAATTCGAAAATCCACTCTATATTCGGTACATTACTTCGGTTTGCATGTAAATATTTCTTTTTCACTTGATTTATTCATTAAATTTGTTTTGATTCGGTTTGAAGAAAGAGGAATCAATGAAGATCAACATTCTCGCACAACGCATAATACTGTATAATTTTTATCATTTCAGCCCAAGCAAGGCAATAAAGCCGATAAGGTGAAAGGTGTTAATTAGTCCAAGAGAATATTACAAAGCAAGAAAGAAATTAAGGATAGAGAACAATAAATGAACAAGCATTAAGAAGAAAGAAGATAACATTTCAACTTTTGAAGATCAAACTTGACTGGGAAGCAAGACGCCAGAAGAGAGTTTCACAAGCAAGAAATGTGAGAGAAGAAATTGTTAGCATAGAACTTACGGTTACATCTTTCTTTTAAATCAATTCACCCTAAACAAGCCAATATGCCACTAAGACGCAAAGGGTTGTGAAAAAGAATCAGAAAAAGAACCGGGAACGTAATCCTAAACAGGAAATATGGAGTAAAACTCTACTCTTGTTCAAAAGATCGGGGTGGAGATAGGCGACGTATATACTTTTATTGAGGAGGAAAATAACAAATAAATCGTAAATAAAATTTATGAGTTTTGGTGGAGACTTTGGTTGCATTAATTGATTGATTTTTATGTCTTATCAAACGTTTACAGGTTATTTAAATCCATTTAATTATTTTAGGTTCTGAGAAATTTTTAGAGATAATAATGATTTGCTGATACATGTCCTACTAATTAACCCATAGCTGGAGGGAGAAAAGGTGGGTTCATACCTTTCCCAAGAGTATTTGGGCATAAGTGAATATAACGAAAATCGCCCCCCCCATTTCAAAATGCCGAGACGTTATCCATTGCACCAACCGCACGCCCAAGTTTCCAGCACGTGGTATTCTCAAGCAGTCACTCATCGAGGTAATGACCAGGCTCTACGTTGCTTAACTATGGTGATCGTATGTGGACCGGTATTTCAACGTGGGGTGGATGTAACACGTATGGATTTAAAGCAACGTTTAGTAAAAAAAAACGGTAAATTCAGTTCTAAATAGGAAAAATTTTGCATAATTTTCTTTTTTTTTCAATGAGATATAATTTATCGTCGTAAGATCGGGGTTTTAATCGGAAAGTCGTTAAGTGAGGATTAACTCTAGCAAGAATATTACAAGTCGATGAAATACAGAAAAGCATGTTGCAACATGTTCCTAATTGATCTACAAGTATAGCTACGCAACAGAACTAATATGAAAAATCAATGTCTATAAACAACACAGCATCATTATTATTATTTATTCTAGCAATAACATTAATAATTAATAATGGAGCTGCATTGGATTTTGATGTGTGAAAGTAAAGTTGGCTTGGAAAAGTATTGGTAAGATGGTAATAGTGATATTCAGTCAGTTATGTACCATGCGTGATACAGGCTTAAGCGATCATCTATCTTTCGATACATGATTGATGAGGCAGATTTTTTCCCGCAGTGGATTGACATTTCTTTGTGCGGTAGACCAGTTGCCATCCAAGGCTCTAGAACCCAGTCTGTCCTGCTATTTACCCATAGCTGGAGACTAAGAGGATTCATACCTTTCCCACGAGTATTAGTACGTAAGTGAAAGTAACGGGTTCGACAGGAATTCGAACTTGTCTCTCCGATTATTCAATCTGAGCCGCTATCCATTACTCCACCTTACTCTTTTATGCAGCGGCGGCGCATAGAAGAATAAGGCTAATAGGGATATTTCCGGCTAATAGTGATATTAGGCCTTTTAAATGGAGGAAACATACGGTATTCAGTGACCAAAGAGTGTTACTGTCTTTTGAAATATATAAATTATTTCTCTTAAAACAGTTTTTTTCATGAAAATAAGTTTCTCAAGTATACTATCAGTTATTTCTATTTCTAATACTAATAACAGTAGGTAACTCCAAAAATGTTCTAAAGTCACAAAATAGCATGATGAAAAAAAGCTCAGATCTTGATAACAAAGTTTTCTCGTCAGAATATTAATGTTATTACTAAGAGGAAAGATCAAAATATTATTTAATTAAATGTTTTAATCCTTTCTAGCACGTTTGAAATTTTGGTTAAAAATCTTGTTTTTCTTACATCAGCGCTGGGCCAAAGGATAATAGATGGATTTTTAGCTTCATTTTTTGCTGTTAAAAAAATTGTTTTGGAAATTCTTACAAAAATCAAATACATGTCAGATTTTACATAATTTACATTATTCGGACTATTGTTCTCATCTGTGTCGCCATATTTATTACACCGTTTTGGCCGTTGTACGCTTCGGCCTTCTTCAGTATATGTCTATATTTCTGAGATGAGGTATTATGTACACTATTTACATTATTCAAACTATTGTCCTCATGTTTGTCGCCATATTTACTACAACGTTTCGGCCGTTGTACGCTCCGGCCTTCTTCATTCATATTACATATCACATGTCAATTTTAACATTACCACTCTACCTTGAGTGACTCTTGCGTTTTTGATTGAATTAATTTCATATACGTGACTGCTACACTTGCATGCAATGCTTATTATTTACTAGAATACAACGTGGTGTATTTTTTAAGCCTTTTAATGTTATTTTTTAAAATTGATTCACCACTAAGAGAACGGTAAAGCAACTAATGCGTAAGGGGTCTACTGGGAGTGAAAAAGAATGAACAAGACTTCAGAATGAACCGGAAGCCCAATCCTAAACAGGAAACAAGGGATAGAACTCTACTCGTGTTCAGAAAGAGGGTGAGGGAGTGTGCAAATGGTTTGATGTTGATTATTAGGACGAGCTATACCCACCATTGTAAATTTGTACAATTCTAGTTACAGGTATACCTTGCTCTAAGTCGTTAATTGGTTTCAGAGGCCACGACAGGTTGAAAAACGACATAAAATAATTACATTATAAACCGCAAATAAGTACTCCAATTGCCTGTTAACAGTATTTATATGTAAGTACAGTATTTTCTTCATGACGAAAGAGGAAAAACCGGAATAGACAATATTCGAGAGCTGCTGCTGATAATTTTTTTTTAGGGTTGCTAGTGCTATAATGTTTAAGGTCAACAGACATATAACGCACAAGATTGCTAAATAATTCACATTCGATGTAAAATTTAGTATTTTACCTCGAGGAGTTCCGATTAACCTTGCCAGGTATGCAATAAACTTTTAAACTTGGAAGCAGTTATAATTAATAACACATTGATACAAAATCAATTACTACTTCCTATTTTAATTGACTTAGCAAAAATCGATGAACTTGACTCAGTGATATTTGCTTCACAATGTGTGATATTAATTTCGCTGGCGTCATGGATAGTGTGATTAATGACTGCTAAATTGTTGGTTAAAATTTTAATGCAGTTTCTTAGACTGGCGGAGCGATATTTGTTTCTTGCAATAAAAGCATTTAAGTCATTTGTATAAATTTTAAAATGCTTTTTTTTTTCACGTGAATGAAATTCGGTGAAAAATCGTTACTGGATACAAATAAACTTATATATAAATTAAAGTTTATGTGTGTTTATGCGTGTGTTCAAGCAACTCCACCGCTCTATATAGTCCGATTTCAATGATTTATAGCTTATTCAAAATCCCCAGAAAAGTTAGGCGCAGGGAACGATTTTCGTTGAGCTCAGATGCAGGGTTGCCAGATTATGCGAGATTTAAAATATATATTAATATATTATACTAGCCATTATCGTTGCTTTCATGGTTCAAGGGGCGTAATTCGAGCGACATTTAAACTATCTCCTGTGGAGGCTCTTTGGTTTGGCCATCATCACAATGGCTATGGAGAAGTAGATGCAAAAGGCATCAATAAACTCCAGCACAACTCAAAATTGATCGCTGCATTTAAGTATTGAATTAATGTTTAAGCTTATCGTTTAAAATTTCAACGATAATTCTTTTGTTACCACTTAATTCAAAGACAATTTGTTGTATGTAGATCCTTATTTTCCGTACAAACAATTATTGTTATTTCATGGATGACAGAACAGAGGACAATTTGTAAGATAAAATTAATATAGTGTAAAGATCGAAAAATAGAAATTAGAATTAGTTATACATTCAACATTTGAAGAATTAGAGAAACATAATAGCTAATTAAGTAAGATCCATATTACGGAATCTATACGAATAAATGCGAAATTGGAGGATAATTATCCAAAGACTTCTGGGGTTAAAAAGGCTCAAGTCTATATTAATTTATATGATAAAAGCTCAATATCTATATTATATATTATCTACTTCTAGGTGATATCACTCTTCAGGTTTAACTAATTTGGATATTAATTTTAAAAAAAGTATATTTTATTAATTAACTGATCTGCATTACTGTTCTTTTATTCAAAGAAGGTTTGATTTTCGTATCATACATAGTTCTGTTTAGGAATACAGTCTTATATAGTACAGAAAAGTGTTTGAAATTTGCATTTTACTTGGCCTTCAACAAGTTGGCATCTATTTGTAAAACTTTCCTCAGCTATAACAAGCCAATTTATGAATGAAATGTTCATTTAAAATTTTTGTTTCAAAGATTTCAAGTAGTAAATATATCTTACTTTGCGAAGTGATAGCGAGCTGGCGAAACCTGCTAGTGTAATAGAGAAATATTCTATGTCAAATCTTTTTCATGCTTCAAGTAGAAGATGAATTTGAGGCGATTAGACGTTTAGCTTAAAACTATGGTTTACAAACTCGTCTTGATAACCATCAGCTACTGAAATGAGTTCGGGTTTTTTTTTCGCTCTATTTTTATATCCTTGTACCAGATTAAATTCAGTAAATTTAATTAAAATATTATACATGTATACGTCACCCTACGTAAAGTAAAGTATTCTTAATTTCCACCCTATTTTCCAGCGATATAGACTTACGCATTAGCACTTGCACTGGGATTTTTCTTCGGAGCCATGGGCAAAAATGTATTTTAAATCGCAAATAAAATGTAACTGAAAGAACGTCAACGGCAGAGCACAGATGTAAACAAGTTTGAATTCAAAATGCATGATGGAGCGGAAAACATCGAACGGCAGAAACTTGAAATAAGAACATCTGCTGAAAATACTTTATTATACTATTTTTTTGTTTTTGGTGTTTTTTTCTCCGGGGTATCACTGTATTCTTAAACATGCCAGGGAATTCAGAGGCCAACAAGTCAATCACTAACACTGTTAAAATTGTGTCGGATTCTAAACGCTTTGAATTCTGAAATCATTTCTGGTGCAAAAGTTGCCTCTGATGCTAAAATCGCCAAGCATGCTAAAATTGCACCAGATGCTAAAATCGCCTCTGGTTAAAAAAAAAAAGCTTTGGTGTTAAAATCGCATCTGATGCTAAAAAAAGTGAAGTGCTATGGTCGCCCCTGTTGCTAAAATCAACTTGGGTGCTAAAAATTGCCTTTGGTGCTAAACAGTATCCGAAATAATATTGTGTAATCTCGTATAAGGCCGGCCTAGGGTGATGCATATGTTGACACAAACCGCGGCATTTTAACGACATTATATGTGGTTGGGTACCTGGCTTGAAATAGTTTTTGGTGACTTCTATCGTTGTTATCTCGAGTCAGTTGCCTCGCAACGTTAGTTTCTACGGTCATCTTGAGACGAATATACCAAAGTTGGATTGTCTCTGCTTCTTACTGAAAATCAAATCAAATGAGTCGTCATTTCATCAAGAGCAAGTTTTGTCTTTCGTAATGTTAAATAACACGTGTATGGTTTGTATTGACTGTCTTCAGTCCTCTTAGCAGGAACATTTTACTGACAAATTATCAGTGAATGAAAGCGAGAGAGGAAGCGAGTAAGGGGGGGAGCCCCCAAATATCTTGTTCGTTATGCTCTATCGGTTGGTTTCTCGTAGAGGCAATAAAATAATCACTGAAAAACTTTGGGAATAGAATCTCCTCTTTCACAAGGAAATTTCGCCACCTTACCGCCGATTCGTTTGGGAATAGAATCTCC